CCTAGTGCTCCTAATGGCATTTAGAAAAATCCACTGTGTGTGAATGAAAACAACCAATCAGAGCCGAGAAACATAGATGATTGCTGACTCTCATTCCCGGGTCATCAAATATAGATACTTTAGGACCTAAAGTATCAATATTTGACCCGAAGTATCGGTATTTGACCATTTAAAGCAGTACATGCAAACACAGACACCACTCCCACTGAGACACTTGGAAAGTGCATCAGTATGACTACTGTGTCTTACAGCCACCAACAAAGTGCGGATGCTGGAGGACGGGGTGACTGAGAGGATAAAGACCCTGCTGCGCTCCGACATGCCGCCGGTTCAGTTCAAACTTCTGGGTACGCTGCGCATGATGGTAGATGGACAAGGTGAGCGCAAGTGTCCATTTAAAGACTTAATCATGCATGAAACTGATTGCATTCAGTACTTAATAGTAGTCTCAGATCGGATTCCCCTTATGTCATCTCCTTTGCTTTAGGGGACACCCAGTCCCTACAGAGACGTCTGGCCAGGGAAGGACCCTTATTCATTGTGGGTTGAAAGCGTCACTTAAAAATAAAAATTTTATTTAAAAAAAATGTTCATCCATTCAGCTTAATTTACATTCTCCCTAGCCTGTTATTTTTCTCAATTGATCTATTAATCATTTGGTCTGTAAAATGCCCCAAAATTGTGAAAAATGGCCAACACAAGTCGAAAACATCAACAAATAAAAGATGGACATAGTGTCTCCATTTCCTCCTATTAAAAAAAGAGAGCCAGAATATTCACAAATATTCGTTTGACCACTGCCATTTTTCGCCATTCAGAGTCAGAGTCAGTAGTGATCAGGGTTGGGACCATAGTATTGTCCCACCCATACGCCCGGCTGACTGAGTCGCGAGCAGCTGTCAATCATGATGTGAAACCCTTTTTATAGCTTCAAATAACTAATTAAAACTGAACTTGAAAAAATCAGCAAATATATAGTATAACTAGATAGCAACTTGTGGCCATATTTCCTTATTGTTTCTGATTTTACACATCGTTAACATTTTTTAATATACGTTCTATTTTCTCTCTCTGCTATGCTGCGTGTGTTAGAGGAGGCAGCCTTGGTGTTGGGGAGAGATGCTGAGCTGCTGGCTCGGGTCATGGAGTGGTGCGAAGCCAAAGACCACGCAGGGGTGAGAGGAGAAGCCAGTCGCCTATTGGCTGCCTTCATCAGACACAGCCGCAACCCTGTGAGTCAGTTCATTCTGAAAATTTGAGCTTCCTCTTGGGATGTACACTGAACATCTGTAACAGGCTGATTACCTCTCTCTGACAGGAAGTTGTCAAGGCTGTGGCCAAAGCAGATGGGGTTCGGCACCTTATCTCCATGGCAACGAGTGAGCACGTCATCATGCAGAATGAGGCCCTAGTTGCCCTGGCGATAGCATCTGCCATTGACATTGGTAAAGCAATTTACGAGATTGTGTAAAGTTCTGGGCCTGAATTTATGAATTTCGGAATCATTCCTACAAACTCTGACTGGAACTGAATGTGAACTCTCAGCAAGGTTGAGAAGTATGCACGTGTCTATCACTGACCAGAACTTCCAACAGGCTAAAAGGTCCAGTATGTAACATTCAAAAACTTTCACTATATCCTGACA